TGGAACGCCGGATTGCTGCTGAGATGGGAATTGGAGGTAAAGGACTTGGATTTGTGATTGGTTTGGGTGGGAGAGAAGGGAGTTGAGTCGCGATGTGTTTTGTGGGGTGGTGATGAGGGTGACCCTGCCTCCATTTTCAGCTAGAAGCTTGGCCAAATCGGCCATGGGGATTAGATGGCCTTGAGCCATGAGTGGGATGAGAAGAAAGTGCGGTGGCTGCTTGGATTTGGAAGCCATGAAAGCCTGTGAGCTGAAGATTGCAGCTTCCTTTGTTTGTTTCTATCTTATATCTGTTTCCTGCTGCTAGAGACCACATGATGTTTTGACTAAAGAGGAAGAACAGAGGAGAGAAACATTTAAGACAGTTTTGTTGGCAATTGTGTTGTTGTATTGTTTGTAGTGGGAGGTGGAACACTGTAACACGTCATTTTATCGCTTCGTATAGAATATATGTCTTAAAACCGTGAGAATTGTTTAGGCTCACAGACTTCGGCCCACATACTCTTCAAAAAGGATAATCTCATCCTCCCTGCCCCATCTAGTCAGGCTCGAACCAGAGAATTGGAAGAATACGCTGTTAGGGAAGGAAGCTCGAACAGAGAACAAAACCCAGAGACAGACCGAGAACCCTCCTCGTGAAAAGCTGTCGCCATTGGAGGAAGCTAAGAATCTATTCGCAGTCAGAGAGACACGCAACCAACTAGCAACGCTGGGCACCGTTTGCGCCGGCGAAGTTCCGACACTTGTGAACGGAGGAGGCGCCATGGTGGTCTGCACCGGAGAAGAGAAGAAAAACAGAGGAACAGTGGGTACTCTGTGTTGGATCTCACGTCCACTAATTTCGGGAATGATTCTGTATTTATAATAAAAAAATACTCTCTCCATTCGTATGGGGATATGAGAACTTATGCTCAAAGGGGATAATATCATACTATTGTAGAGAGCCGTGTTCAACTAACACTCTGCAAATGCACAAAGACAGAGAACGGGAAGAAAAGGAAGAATCTGAGACAAGAGGAGAATGATATCGTCCTCTGCACCACGCCACAAAAAGAAGGAGACGACACGACACGACCCGCCTAATGAAACTGCTTGCCCAATTCAACCCGGTTCATTAGAGTTGAACTGAACCACTCAGCTGCCCGACCGACTCAAACTGAAAATCCTTATTTTTGACAATGGACGAAATTTATTAGGGAATATGACGACAAGCCTAGTTAATCAAGTTGGATATTTATTAGAAAACATGACGATAAACCTAATTAATTAATTTGTATATAGTTAAATTTAGAAACTAGTTCGTTTTCTAGTTTAGCGCAATATTATGTTTAAAGCTTCTTCTTCTGCTTGTATGTTGCGATGTCTGATTAGTCTTAATTATATAAGGACTCTAGCATGTCTCGTATATTTGTAAATCTATTGATTGAACATGTTGGACACTATTATACGGATGTGTTATGCATAACAGTATGTTATGGGGATTAATTACCTGCTATGTTCCCGAGAGAGTCTATATGAGAATATGCATGAACATTACTAGTTATTGCAAATTTTCTTAGTATTAGAGTTCACATTAGATACCATAGGTATTTTCATGTGACCAGGCAATCAACTAGGGTCAGTTGGGGCGCAACCTCTAACCGTGAACTCTCCTAGTAGGATTAAGATCTACTTGATACATATTAGTTAGTTGTCATTCACAAGGGGATGCCAAGAGTCGTAGAGGACATGCTACCAGGGTGCACCCAGTAGATAGTTCATATAGGATCCAAATAGTCAGAGTACTAACCTACTTATAATGCACAGGTTACCTCAAACACACAAGACTTACCCGCGAGCCCGTCATAGGGTAAGTGGACTCAAGTGCGAGTAGAACCAGGTTAATGATAGACTTTGAGAAACGTAAACAAAATGTTAAGTACAACCTAATCCTACATTATGGCTCGAGGGATTTAGTTATACACCCTATATTAGAAGTGTAGCAACTTACTTGTAGGCTCTTGTCGAACTTGATCCTTACAATGATTTCTTGAGCTATGTGCTTCTATATTGTCTCTACCGTTAACCAATGTCATATCTTATAGTCTATGACAGGAGTGTGCATAGCCATGCAATTGTAGAGGTGCTCTTTAGATCGAGTCGTCTTCCGTCTTCCATTAGATTTGCAACATTGTTTGCTTCTCCCTTTTTCCAAAGAGGAAAGAGTATAAATTAAACTTGAATTACAAATTTGTGTGTTCTAAGCCATTGTATAATTCAAATGCGACTACTTTTAGGCCTCCCGAACCTCTGTCTGATGCGTAATATCTTCGATCAATAGCTTCAAATTGAGATTAGAAGAGCCTCCTTCTTCCATGGCGGCCTTTGCTCTTTCAGCTAAATCCCTCACTCTTCTTCTCATCTCCTTGTTTCCCTCTCCATCCATCACCTTCTCAATTGCCCCTCTAATGCCTTCCATCTTCACTTGAACCCCGATTTCCTCCTCACTTCCCCACATAACACTCTTCTCCATCCCCACGCTGACCCCAACCTTCAGAAGCTGAACGATCAACTTCTCGTTGAATATCTGGTCGGCGAACAACGGCCAGGTCACCATCGGCACTCCTGCTGTGATCCCTTCTATGGTCGAGTTCCAGCCACAGTGTGTGACGAAGGCTCCGGCTGCCGGATGTGATAATATCAGCACTTGCGGAGCCCAGCCACGGACCACCAGCCCTCTCTCTTTGGTCCTCTCTTCAAACCCGGACTCTGACAGCCACTTTTCTAGTTCGTTTTTGGTGGCTTCTGTTTGTCTAATGACCCAAATGAATGGCCTGTTCGATGCCTCTAGAGCCAGCCCCAGCTCTATGATTTGTGCTGCTACTACGTTGCATAAACTGCCGAGTGCGGCGTAGACGACTGAGCCGGGCTGTTGTCTGTCCAGCCATTTGAGACATTCATGTTCGTCGATGGCGGCCTTGTTGCCTCGGACAGCCTTGTCGGCTGCGTCTCTGTTACATAGTGAAACGGGCCCAACACACCAAACTTTGTCTGATCCTATATGACATTAGTAAAGACAATAATTTTATATTATTCGTTGATTTGTTGGATTGTTACGAGGGAGTTCCACGTTGATTAATTAAGGGGAATATCATGGATTTACAAATAAGAAATACTATCTCTTCGTACGAGGCCTCTTGAGAAAACAAAAAAACAAAATCACGAGAGCTTATGCTTAAAATGGACAATATCAAATCATTGTGGAGGGTCCGTAATTCCTAACATGGGTATTAGAGCCATGTCCTTAACTTAGCTACGTTAATATAATCATCAAATATCACACAAAGAGTGTATTTTTTCATGGGCTCTAGAAAAAAGGCATGGCTTCATAAGCCTCAAGGAAGATTCTATGGGAGGAAGTCCTACCTTGGCTAAGTGGAATATCATGGGTTTATAAGTTAGGAATACTATCTAGTATGAGCCCTTTTAGGGAAACCAAGAGCAAAGGCGCTCAGAGTGGATAATATCATACTATTGTGGAGGGTCGGTGATTCTTAACTGAGTGTGAGTGTGAAGAACGGAGGGTGCAATTGGGTACCTGTGGCCTTCTTGAACTCCTCAAGGTATTTTGGTTCCAGAGCATCAAAAGAGTTGAGAATGATACCATAGGAAGCCTGGTCAGCTTTGCCCGTTTCATTGGCCCATTCCATGAACTCAGCATCCCAAGTGCATATAATTTGCGGCTTAGTGAACTCGACTTTATCAGGCAAATTGGGCATAGCAATTAGCTCGGAATCAGAAGCAGACATGATTTTTTCGATAACACCTGTGGCTCGTAGATTCGCCATACTCGACAGATACAACGAAGACAAGCTGTAGAAAACAAGCCTAGGAACATTAAACTTGTGGGCAACCTTAATTGTCCAAGGCAACGCCATGTCCGACACCACACAGCTCGGTCTGGGAGACAGCTGCTGGAACAAATCCTGTGTGGCCCGACAGAGAAGAGATGTTGCCGACAAGAATTTGGGGAGTAAGCTAAGTGAAGGCAAGGAGTCACAATTCTCGCAGCCTTGTGGAACGCCGGATTGCTGCTGAGATGGGAATTGGAGGTGAAGGACTTGGATTTGTGATTGGTTTGGGTGGGAGAGAAGGGAGTTGATTCGCGATGTGTTTTGTGGGGTGGTGATGAGGCTCACTCTGCCTCCATTTTCAGCTAGAAGCTTGGCCAAATCGGCCATGGGGATTAGATGGCCTTGAGCCATGAGTGGGATGAGAAGGAAGTGAGGCGGTTGCTTGGATTTGGAAGCCATGATAGCCTGTGAGCTCAAGGTACACAGACTTATATCTCTTTGCTGCGTATGTGTGGCTACAAATCACATGTTTTGATCATACAGGAAGAACAACCAAGAGAAACAGCTAGAAAGTTTTTTTTTTTTTTTTTTTTAAATCTTCTTTTTGGTATTTGTGGGAGATTTGTAGCATGAGATGGAAGACTCAACCACGTCTTTCGGTTGCTTCAATTATATATACATATATATAGATACACCATGAGCCTATCTAATCTCCTTCACATTTCAAGGGTGGGATTTGGTACCCATATCCGATCCCATATCCGATCCCATATCCGATCCAATCGAGAATCTTTTCCTTCCTCTCTCCTCTACTTTTCTAAGGAAATCTGGCGCCCCCACCAGGGAAGACTCGAGAGAACTTGTCTCAGATCTCACACTTGACTAAGATCTCGAAAGTGGGTCTATCTATCCACAAATTTTCTACCATTTGATTTGCTATTAGCGGGATGGCGAAGACTTAGGCTCCTATTTCAATAATTACAAACTATTATAATCACGTAACGAGAATTAAAAGTACGAACAAGAAATGACCATTCCTACGAAGAGAATTCAAATCAAAATTGATGAATCTCCGAAAGAAACCTCGAGAACGCCACCCTATTGCATGTTCTATATTGTTCCCCAATTGATCGGCCCACTGCCCAATGGGAGGTCAAATGCTACCAAAATGCTGATGCATGCGCTTACCTCACGCCTCCATTGACTTATATAATAGAAACCAGAGCCCCATAGCTCGGAGGAACGGCCTTCTCTTACCACACGACCCTGCCATGGCGCCCCACAGCGATACACTTCACTTTCTTCTCTTCCCTTTCATGGCGCAGGGCCACATGATCCCCATGATGGACCTCGCCAAGCTTCTCGCTCGCAATGGCGCCACAGTCACCATCGTCACCACGCCCCTCAATTTTGCCCGCTACCACTCTGTTCTCACTCGCGCCATTGATTCCGGCCTTCAAATCCACGTCGTTCAACTCCAATTCCCATGGACCAAAAACTCCGGCATCCCAGAAGGCTGTGAGAATGTCGACTTACTTCCTTCACTTTCTTACTTATCCCATTTCTACAGAGTTTTAAGTCTCCTTTACGACCCATCGGTGAAGCTGTTCGAGCAGCTCACCCCTCGTCCGAATTGCATAATCTCCGACATGTGTATTCCTTGGACCTTCCAGCTCGCTCAGAAATTCCATGTCCCCCGGCTCGTTTTCTACAGTTTGAGCTGCTTCTTCCTTCTCTGTCTCAACCGTTTATTCGGAAAATCCGATGTTTGGAAATCCCTGTCTGATTCTGAGTTCGTGGCGGTACCGGACTTCCCCGTTCCGGTGGAGTTTCGCAAGTCGCACCTACCTCGTATCACGGATGATTACGCGACCCAATTTGGTCAAGCAATGAGCGAGGCTGATCGGCAGTCGTACGGCGTTATTTTAAATGTATTTGAGGAGATGGAGCCAGAGTATGTAACAGAGTATAAAAAGGGAAGAGAATTGCCGGAGAACGTCTGGTGCGTCGGCCCTCTTTCGCTTTCCAACAACACCGAACTCGACAAAGCCGAAAGAGGCAACAAAGCCTCAATCAACGAACACGAATGCATCAAATGGCTCGATGGGCAGCAACCCTCTTCGGTGGTTCATGCGTCATTGGGGAGTCTCTGCAATTTGGGAACAGAGCAGCTCATAGAGCTGGGATTGGGATTGGAGGCATCGAACAAACCATTCATCTGGGTCATAAGAAAAGCCAATCTGAAAGAGGAATTACTAAAATGGTTAGAGGAATATGATTTCGAGAGGAAAGTTTCAGGTAGAGGCTTGGTGATTCGTGGATGGGCGCCACAAGTTCTGATACTCTCCCACTCTGCCATTGGATGCTTTCTGACGCATTGCGGTTGGAATTCGAGCATCGAAGGGATATCGGCCGGTGTCCCAATGATCACATGGCCTCTATTTGCAGATCAAATCTTCAACGAGAAGTTAATCGTACAGATTCTGAAGGTGGGTGTAAGTGTGGGAGAGGAAACGGTTGTGCAGTTTGACAGGGAAGATGAAGAACTGGTTCTGGTGAAGAGAGAGAAAGTGAGAGAAGCCATAGAAACTGTAATGGATGGAGATGAGAGAGAAGCGATGAGAGAGCGATCAAAGAAGCTTGCGAAGAAGGCGAAGACCGCCATGGAAGAAGGAGGTTCGTCTCATCGGAACCTCAAACTGCTCATTCAAGATTTGATTGCTCATGGTCGAAGTTCTAAGAATGGGAGCTGCTGATGATTGTGGTGTAAGTTATGGTTCTCAATTATGAACTCGAGTTGATAGCATGATAATCCGAGAGATACACTTGTAAACACTCCGATCACGAAAAGAGAACATGATTGATTCTTTCAAACATTACGAATTATTCAACAAATTCTCCTCATTATTAACTTCCCCTAATGGAAGATTATCAAACGATTGGACAGAAAATTACATTTATAGCTTTAAAACCAGTGCATCCGTATATCGGCGGTCGATCGTCGCCGGGATATACATGGGCCGACGGGCACAAATGCTTGAACATAATCGAGTACGGATCCGGGTGGCAACCAGGAACATTGCAGCAATATTTCGGCGGCCCAAACTTGTCGCACGGGCTGTAGCAGCCGACATTCGCGCCGTTTTTGTTAGTGAAAGAGAGCACCGGAGGGCAAACGTGGTTCAAGTCCGCGACGCAGCCGACGGCAGGGCAGTCGCCGAAACCGCCATCGACGAGGTAGCCACCGTCGGGCTGGATCTTGGCCGCAACGTTGAAGCCGTGTTTAAGGCTGAGCTCGTAGTGGACGACAGATTGGTTAATGGCGAAGTTGAGGAGGGTGACTGGGATAGCCGGTAGAGAGTCGCAGATTATAGAGCCTGACCTACAATCGCCGGTTTCGCAGGAGAAATTAAGTGTTTTGTCGTAGGAACAATTGGTGCGGGCCCAGATGCTGCCATTCCACGTGTATGGCATCGTGTACGTCTTGGAAGTGTCCGACTTCATCTTCAGATTCGTGTATCCGGTTGCCACGCCTGAAGATAGCCAGATGGGATACGGGCATTGGTTCTGGAAGACAAATACCACATCTTCCGAAATTACCCCTGCAAATATTTCAATATTACTATTATATAATTAATTAAAATAAATATTTAAATATCATTATTGTACCTTAAAAAAAAAAAAAATCATTATTGAGGTTACCTGCCGCAAGAAGGGAGACTTGGAGAAGGACGATAAGAGAAGTTTTGAAAGCCATTGATTAATACTGATGAGTAGTGTAATTAATTATGGTAGAGAAAGACTCCATTTATAGGGAAAAAAATACAGGGTTATTTATGGAATTTACTAAGTATCAAATTATTGATATATAAATCGGTTACAAATATAAATATTTATATATACATTTTAATAAATTGATTGTGATGGATAACAAGCTTAAAACTAAATATGGTAATGTATAATTCAGAAGCTATCTTTAAAATGGTAATGCTACTATTTAAGTATAATTTGATTTAGTATGGAGGTTACGATACGAAAATTTAAGTTGACTAATTTCGTGTACGTATTTGTTGAATTTACGAGAATCGAGATTTTTGAGAGAAATTATGGATTTTGAATGATAGAGTAGCTTTACCTAACAACGTCTCGATGTTATGAAGAGATATGCCTCGTATTTTTCGTTGGTAGGATTGAGATATTACATGTAGCATCTCGACACTACATTAATTAAAATTTAGTTTCATAATTTCCGTCATTAAAACTAAAACCAAAAATAAAAAATAAAAAATAAAATTGCTTTTAAAATTTGAATATAAGGCCGTTGGATTGGAAGTATTGAGAGCCTTTTTGGGCTCTTTCCGCGCCCATCACTGTTGCTTTCCGCGCCCACTCAATAACAAACAAAAGCCTTAGCTAATGACCCATAACATTTGAAATTTTGAAATCTTCGGTCTTTTTAATTTTTGATGCTCAAATCGAGCTACCGATGAACCAATACGATGCTTGTGATACACTTGTATTTGATAGACATAACAAGAACTATAATATTTTTTTAGCATACTTTGAAAATGCACTCCTACACGTACGAGCCATACCAGTTTGAACCAATTTGAATGAATTGGTTGGTCAATCAAGGTTGTATATGTTGAGCCTCCACGACTCATATAGGATAGTCTCACCATATTGACGTGTTTAGAGCTTAATTTTATCCATAATTTTTTTTAACGATAATATACATTTATAATTTAAAAGGGACGATAAGTTAATTATCTATCCTCCACTCAAGCATAATTTAATTGAAGGTGGAATCAATCCCATTTCTTCCACTAAAAGATGTGGGCTATGAATAGGACATTTATGGAAGCACTAAATCATATTATATACCCAAAATATTACAATTTGACATCTAATTTAAACTTTGCTTACATTCCAATGTTCATTACAAATAATATTTGAAACAAGGAGTACGCGTAGGGTTAATACTCTTCGTTAACTTAAAGAATCAAATTCCAAACTATCTTTATTCGGTGATAGAACAATACTTAACTAGGTATCAATGTGTAAGAATTATATTACAGATCATTATTAAATATATGGACAAATGGGAGAGAGAACCGTACAAAGATTTATTCTTCTCTCACACTGTCTATATTTACGGATATTGTTGAACTTTTTAAAACATTTAAAAATTTTGAATATTTTTGAGATAAGTGGTGAAATTTGTTTGTATTTTTATTAATTTAGATTAAATTTTTTTAACATTATATTATTTTAAATTAATAGTTAATTATATTTATTGAAAAACTTAAAAAAAGGCTTTAAATGGGTGTAATAGACATTCATTTAATGGTAAAGGGAAAAAGAAATAGAGTGGACAACATTAATTAATTAATCAATTAATTAACAAACAGAATAATAGAATCCTATTGGTCAAATGGAGGCTCCACCATACGTTCATAATTAATAAGCGACAAAGATTAGATATTTTTCTAATATATTTTATTTTTATCATTATTTCATAATAATTTATCAAATTTATATCAGTTTTTTAAGTAAATATCATGTTTTTATTTAATAAAATAAACTGATAAACTAATATATTAGATAAGGGTATTTTTCATAAATTAATTAAACGAATAAAAATAAACACATTATTAATTAAAAAAAATACCTAATAATTAGTCCATGCATTAAATGAAAAATACGTCAGATGCAGCTAGGAGAATGAAGAGACTAGGGAGGGATTAAATTAGATTAGATTAGATTAGGGTAATTAAATTAGTGATTAATTGAGTAATTATTATTAAAAAGAAAAAAATGGGTCGTTTTTTTAAGTTGGGACGGCAACGTCGGCTGTGACCATAAAATAATGAACCGACATCTCTCTATGATGGAGAGGTTTTGGTCATTTCCAACTTGTCGTACCGACCATCTTTATTCCCAATCTAATCTCTCAAAAGTCGATCACTTGGATGCTTATGCCTTTCCAACCTACCAGCACTAGACTTTATCAATTCAACTCTCATTAATAAAAAGAAAAAAAAATACTTACTTTAATAATTCCCGAACCTAATTTAATACATAAGACATCAATTATTATTTATATAAATTTAAATTAATTTAATAAAATTTTAAAATTTAAAATTTTGTGTTTTTTATTGGCTCACAATGCCAGATGCATTATTTTTAAAATATAAATTTTTTTCAATACAAAAACCAACTAAAAATTAATTTATCACAAAGCCCGAGCAAAGTCACGCTAGTGGTCATAGTTTATAATATCGTCGATTAATACACCATGTCCTAAAATTTGAAAGTTTCAACCTTTATTTTAAATTATTTTTCTTTTTGTGAAAGGTAAAAGAAGTTGTATAGAAATTATGCATTAATTCGTGCATTTTAAAATATTATATAAAAAAAAACATTTGACATTAAATAATTAAGTATATTATATTGAAGTAACATACAGTTGTAAATTGCATTAATAAATAGAAAATGATATTTTAAGTTATCCTTTATGATAAACAACATATAATTAAATATTATAATATGATCAACCCCCTACTAATCAAAGATTAATCATAGTCACTATTTAATAAATATATATTAGGGTGGTCCATTGCAATTCTACATTTTTTTTTTTAAATAGTTAGATCTTCATGCGATAACTTTTTAATTTTTTTCTTTTTGGCTTCGTTGATTGGGTAAGTTCAATCATTGTTAAGTTTTTACCAAAGTGAAAAAGTTTTAACAATTAAATATTCAAATATTCAAAATTATGAACGGTAAAATAAAAGAAAAAACTTATTTAATTTGTCTACTTTGAGCATGTGAACACGACTCTCTACAATGATATGATACTGTCCACTCTGAGCATAAACTCTCGTGGCTTTGCTTTGGGCTTTCTCAAAATGCCTCGTACTGATGGAGATCCGTAATTCCTAAAAATCAGTACATGAATGTGGCGAAATCACATTAAAATGGGAGCGATCGTGAGAATATGATGACTAAAAAAAGTCTAAAACATTTGAAAATTACTATTTACCAACAATGTGCACTTTCCTTTTGGGCAACTCAATCATAGAAACTTCATAGTTAAACATGTTTTATTTGGAGAAATCCTAGGATTAAGGCGGGTCACTCTTAGAAACAAATAGTAAGTAATAGAGCAATGTAGGGACCACGTGAGTGAGGGGATAAACATGCTGAGAAGGATTTGTGTGGCTTGTGGGGATAGTTTTCTCTCGGGAATATGTAATCTGACCATATTACAGAGGAATGTCGGGACCATCAAATGTCAAATCTAAACCTAAAGAATTGAGAAATGCAATTTAATTATTTAATATTAAATTAGAAATTAGAAAATTTATAAAATAGAATTGATAAATAAATAGCCGTACAGCGGTTTGATGTAATCGGAAAGGACAAAAGTGGGGCACGAGGTTTTTGTATTCTTATCAACTCGTTGTTAATTAATAATTTGATTATACCTTTTTTTTCCCCTAATTAATATTACTAAATTAGAGAAGAGGACAAGATTGGAAAATGCAAAAAAGAAAGAATAATAATAATAATAATAAAATACCATAGATGAGTAGATAACTATAAGATATACATTACATTTTTGCGATAATTCAGTAGATAAGTATAAAGTATATGTAAAATTACCAATTTAGTCATGCTTCCAATTTATTTTTAATTTGGATATGAATAAACAAATATGACAAAGAAAGTGTAATACTTAAAAATAAATAAACTAAAGATAATTTAAAATCAAAATCAAATCTCATCATAAATAAAAAATCTCTGATTTTTTAAAAATATATTTAAATAATTTCTATATTTTTAATTTTGTGGCTAATGACATATTTAATATTTTTATAAATATTAATGCTTTAAATTTTATTTTATTAAAATTTTAAAGGACTGAATATGTTAGAATTTTGTAATAAAAAATTATAGATTGAAAATATAGATAAATTAAAAGATATTATATATATATATATATATATATGTTTGTTTTAATAATAAAGAAAAAGACG